TGTTTCTCCTGCTATAAGGTATAAACAGTAATTACCAGGCACTACATTAAGCACACTGATCTGTCTATATGTCTATGTGATATCGACAGTGAAATACTCTCCAATATACCACTCTCATTGCTAATATACAGGGGAAACCAACCTGCCCAGTGGCCAGGCAAAATTGTTTCCCCTGCTTTAAGGTATAAACAATAATTCCCAGGCACTATATTGAGCACACTAATCTCTCTATAGGTCTATATGATATTGACAGTTATATCGGCACTAATTTATATATAACTGTAACACATAAATATTTATTCTAATGCACCAGTTCCAGTGTACTATTTACATATATATATATTACATTATTCTGAAATCAGGAACCCTGCATACACCATTGCCAGATATGTGCAATTTAATTTTGATAATGTATTTAACCAAGTGACATAAATGTTTATGAAAGAATGGTAACATTGTAACGCACGTTTTTTCACCGAGCTTTAACTGCGCTTCTCAGAACGTGATTCACCGACGCACTAATACATATGCCGCAAATAGGCCCGAGATATCAAAAAGGTGCACAACATTAGATCTGTGTCTTTGTGTGCTGCGGAGCGTTTCTAGAAGATGGATCCACTACAATTCGACACTTTATTGACATACATCACTACGGGGAATTATCCCAAGCAAATAAGCAAGGCAGAAAAATTTGTTACTCGGCGCCGAGCACAGAAATATGTTGTATGAGGTAACAGGGGCGTCAGAAGCATTTTGAATGTGGGGGGGACACACTGGCGGGGGGTCTGGGTGAACTAATATTTTATGTTAAATGTGGGGGGGTCCAAACTAATAATTATGAAATGTGAGGGGGACACGTCCCCTCAGATTTAATGGCAGTGACGCCCATGCAAGGTAAACATAATCCCTTGATAGAGATCATAGGTCTGTTGTGCTGTATGGTATAAATTAATTATAAATCGTCATTTAGTCTTTTTTTTCAATCTACAGATGGAGCCCTGTTTTATAATCGACACAAGGAAACAGGTCAAGCACATTTAGTAAAGGTTGTCAAAGGCGCTGATGAGGCAGACAGTGTTTTCAGGTGCAACAGGTGCAACAGTGCAACAGGTGGACACGGTGGAAAGGAGAAAACCGAAGACGCCATTTGCAGTAGATATTATTGACCTGGGATGACAGTTGATATTCGAAACTGGGTTAGTTCTTTTTTTCTTGTACATTATTATATTAACAGTTATCTTGTCCTACTGACAACAATTAACTGCACTGTGATACTGCACAGTTTTTAAATCATGACACACAAGTGTAAATGTTGGACAAAATATTGTTCATTACCACCCACCAATAAAAAGCAATTACTAAGTACTACACACAGGCTAAAATGAATCAATAATAGCATTTATGAATCATGTACAGTAATGCTACAGCTTACAAAACCATAATGTAAACACTTCTGACATAAGGAAAATGTCTTGCAAGGTGCCTAAATTAATCTGTGTTTTGATGTTATCATTAATATCAGTTCGGGTTATTCATTGTATTACTGTTAATATTATTTTTAGTCTTTTACATAGAGTAGCAACAAAAGTATGATATTAATCCTGATCTTTCACCTTCATTCAATACTTTGGGTGCAATGTATAACAACCTGTGGCACTTTACTGAATTAATTCAGGAATAATTCACTATTTTTATTTCTAATATGTTTTCTCTTAATAACATAATAGATGTTATCTTTCTAAGAGGTGGCATGGTGGTGCAGTAGTTAGCACTGTTGCCTCACACCCCTGGGACCTGGGTTCAAGTCTCCGCTTGGGTCACGTGTGTGTGGCGTTTGCATGTTCTCCCCATGTCGTCGTGGGGTTTCCTCTGGGTACTCCGGTTTCCCCCCACAGCCCACGAAGTGGGTGGAGACATTTCCACTGCCATCGAAAAATGCTGAAGATGTCACTATGTGCATAGTGAACTTTTGCTACAGATTTGGTGCACCGAAAAGGATTCTGACAGATCTGGGAAGAGAATTTGTAAACAAGGTTAGATATATAATTACTGTTTATATATAATTAATTTAATATTACAATTATAAAATAATGTATGAGTGTTGTTTAGTTTGTCATTTCCTAAGTATAATACATTAAATACATTTGCTATTTATTATTTTTTCCGAACCTTTTTTTAAATTTGGAATTTTGAATTGGGTGTGGTCAATAGTGTATAAAATACGGTGACCCCCAAAACAGGAGTGGTTTAACAGGTGGAGGCCACTGACATTTTTCCCTCCTCATCTTTTCTGACAGTTTTTTTCACTAGTTTTGCATTTGGCTACAGTCAGTGTCACTCCTGGTAGCATGAGGTGATACCTGGACCCTACAGAGGTTGCACAGGTAGTCCAACTGCTCCAGGATGGTGCATCAATATGTGCCATTGCCAGAAGGTTTACTGTGTCTCCCAGCCCAGTCTCAAGGGCATGGAGGACATTCCATGAGGCAGTTACTCTAGGAGAGATGGACAGGGCCGTAGAAGGTCCTTAACCCATAAGTAGGACCAGTATCAGCTTCTTTGTGCAAGGAGGAACAGGAAGAGCACTGCCAGAGCCCTACAGAATGACTTCCAGCAGGCCACTGGTGTGCATGTCTCTGAGCAAACAATCAGAAACAGACTTCATGAGGGTGGCCTGAGGGCCCGATGTCCTCTAGTGGGTCCTGTGTTCACTGCCCAGGACCGTGGAGCTCGATGGGCATTTGCCATAGAATACCAAAATTGGCAGGTCCACCACTGGCACCCTGTGCTTTTCACAGATGAGAGCAGGTTCACCCTGAGCACATGTGACAGAAGTGAAAGGGTCTGGAGAAGCTGCGGAGAACATTATGCTGCCTGTGACACTGTTCAGCAAGACCATTTTGGTGGTGGGTCAGTGATGGTCTGGGGTGGCATATCCATGGAGGGACACACAGACCTCTACAGGCTAGACAACGACACCTTGACTGCCATTAGGTATCAGGATGAAATCCTTGGACCCATTGTCAGACCCTACTCTGGAGCAGTGGGTCCTGGGTTCCTCCTGGTGCACAACCATGCCCGACCTCGTGTGGCGAGAGTATGCAGGCAGTTCCTGGAGGATGAAGGAATGAATACCGTTGACTGGCCCCCATGCTCGCCTAACCTAAATCCAATGGAACACCTCTGGGACATTATGTTTCAGTCCATCTGACGCCACCAGGTTGCATCTCAGACTGTCCAGGAGCTCAGTGATGCCCTGGTTCAGATCTGGGAGGAGATCCCCCAGGACACCATCCGTCTTCTCATTAGGAGGATGCCCCGACATTGTCAGGCATGCCTACACGGACGTGGGGGCCATACAAACTACTGAGTACGATTTTGAGTTGCTGCAATGAAATTTTGGCAAAATGGACCAGCCTACCGCATCCTTTTTTCACTTTGATTTTTGGGGTGTCTTTGAATTCAGCCCTCTGTAGGTTTATCATTTTCATTTCCATCAAACGATGTGGCATCCTTTCATTCCTAACACATTACCCAGTCCATATCAGTATAGATATACAGCATGATTTTTTCCCCCATTGAGATCTGATGTGTTTTCAAAGCGTTCCTTTAATTTTTTTGAGTGTATATTAGTGCTGTCAAACGATAAAATTTTTTTATCAGATTAATCACAGGGTTGCTGTGGATTTATTTTGATTATTCACGATTAAATATCATTTATAGATTACAAATAAATGATATTTAATCGTGAATAATCAAAATATTTATCGCATTTCATTTTGCATAAGCAAACAGACTCAAGAAAAAAGGGAATATATATGCACTTAACATGTTTATTGAGCATCTTGAACACGAGCTGGATGCATTCCATCTGCCACAGAAGTGCAATACCATGGACCCATATCAAAAAGCAAGATTTTTTGCTTAGCCGGACAACTTGTCGGATTTAAGGTACCTCAGTTTAAATGGTCTTTATCTTCGTTCACTTACAATTAGCCTGAACTACTGTAAATCCGACAAATAATCCAACTAATCATGAAATCTAATTCTAGCCTGGTTAATTGCCATTGTTAGCAATATCAGTTGATAACACATTACACGTGGTACTTTACGTATAAAACTCCGTAGCAACACGTCCACAGATAAGTTGGACAGTATAGTGTGTGTGACTGATTTGATGAGCCACAAATGAGAAGTAGTGCTTAAACAGTATAAAACTACAACTTTCCCTTCTGTTGATAAAGGGCGCAGCCATCTTGGATTCTGAACTCGGGATCCTCTGTGCTGCTCCGAGATATTTCTCGGATCTCCGAGAAACTGGACCGCGCATGCCGTCACTTCCGGCTTCAAAACTCGGAATCCGACTCGGAATACGAGTTCCCAGGGCAAATGGAACGCACCAAAACTGCCCGAAATGGGTTGACAGAGACATTTCATGGATTTTGAGTCATTCTGCGCTACAGATGGGTTAATTGCGTTAACAATTTTAATCAGATTAATCATGATGATGGATTAATCCGCGTTAACCTGTTAATTTTGACAGCCCTAATATATATATATATATATATATACACTCACCTAAAGGATTATTAGGAACACCTGTTCAATTTCTCATTAATGCAAAGTGTCCTTTAATTTTAGGTTTTTTGTCTTTGGAGACAAAGACATCTTACAATTTAGATTTTTCCAACTTTATTTATTTATTTTTATTTTTTATTTCACAGCATGTCCTCTTTAGTGTACAACAGGAATAAATATGTTTCCTTACATCAGTGAAAACATAGGTGCAAAAACAAAATGTCCACTACAATGGGCATAAGTATAAAAATAGAGAGTGAACCGAACTGTGCCCCAAAACCATGATACGATTCGAACCGTGGATTTTGTGAACCGTTGTGAACCGGTGTATGTATATGTGTATGTACTGTACATGACATTCATCATGTTATATTACTTAATTCTTATATTAATTAACTGTTAATGTTGTGTTAATCAGGGCTTTGGCAAAGCTTTGTCAAGGTGAACCAAACCAAATGGGATCGCTATCTGGATGCCGTTACATTCAGCATAAGAACCAAAAAGCAACTTACAACTCAATACTCCCCTTACTATTTGCTTTTTGGAAGGGAAGCACGATACTTTTCGGAGGTCCCACAAACATTCGAAGTGAGTACATGTTCAGTTTATTTTAAAAGTTACATTTATGCAAAAATATCTTCTTTTTAATTTCATTATGTCTTATGCATTTAACAAAGGTCAATGAAACAGTGGAGCAAGCCATTCAGATTGAGGCTGTCAACCCTGCTCTTCAGCTGCAGGAAAAGGTCTTTGAAGTGGTCAGAAAAAATATGAAAGCATCAAGACAGAAAATAAAAGGCAAAACAGACCAACATATGGGTATGACATCTCTTAATTTTAAAGTGGGGGATAAAGTGCTCAGGAAAAACATAAGAAGTCAGCAAAGAAAGGGAGGAAAATTAGATCCAGATCTTCTTGGGCCATTTAAAATAACAGAAATTCAACGAAAGAATGCTGACTTGATTAATGACCAAGGGATCAAAATTTTGCAAAATAAACCTGAATCACTTGATCCATTACATGGAAGACAGTCCACGTGTCCCACATAGACTATATCCCTCTGGTGCACATACCCAAGCTTTCACTCTCAAGGAACTGCAGACCCAAGCCCTCCCTCTCCTGAACTTGGAGACCCGAGCCGTCCCTCTGTTGGACCTGCCCCGAGCCCTCCTTCTCCTGGACCCACAGACCTCAGCCCTCCCTCTCCTGGACCTGCAGATCTCAGCCCTCCCTCTCTTGAACTTGGAGACCTGAGCCGTCCCTCTGCTGGACCTGCAGACCCAAGCCCTCCCTCTCCTGAACTTTGAGACCCGAGCCGTCCCTCTGCTGGACCTGTAGACCCAAGCCCTCCCTCTCCTGAACTTGGAGACCCGAGCCATCCCTCTGCTGGACCTGCCCTGAGCCCTCCCTCTCCTGGACCCACAGACCTCAGCCCTCCCTCTCCTGGACCTGCAGATCTCAGCCCTCTCTCTTCTGAACTTGGAGACCCGAGCCGTCCCTCTGCTGGACCTGCCCCGAGCCCTCCCTCTCCTGGACCCTCAGACCTCTGCCCTCCCTCTCCTGGACCTGCAGACCCAAGCCCTCCCTCTCCGGAACTTGGAGACCCGAGCCATCCCTCTGCTGGACCTGCAGACCCAAGCCCTCCCTTTTCTGAACTTGGAGACCCGAGCTCTCCCTCTCCTGGACCTGCCCCGAGCCCTCCCTCTCCTGGACCCACAGACCTCAGCCCTCACTCTCCTGGACCTGCAGATCTCAGCCCTCCCTCTCCTGGACCTGCCCCGAACCCTCCCTCTCCAGGACCTGCAGACCCAAGCCCTCCCTCTCCTGAACTTGGAGACCCGAGCTCTCCCTCTTCTGGATCTGCCCCGAGCTCTCCCTCTCCTGGACCTGCCCCGAGCCCTCCCTCTCCTGGACCCACAGACCTCAGCCCTCCCTCTCCTGGACCTGCAAACCTGAACCTTCATTCTCCTGGATCGTCTCTCTCCAAATTTGATAAGAGTAAGTAGAAAAAGCATTCTTTGAAAGCAACATCTTTATCTGGTATTCAATAAAGTCTTTCTTGAAATGTTCTATATTATATGTTATCCACAGACTCGCATGTCTAACTTTTATGTAACTTATTTTTTAGGCATTGAACAGGCTTGGTCAACCAGTTCTACTGACAAAAGATGTGTGATATTGTCCAGAATTGGGGCCTACAAAGTGTTCAGTTTTGACATTGCACACTTGGCACGTGGAAGAGAACTAGAGAGTGAGGTTAGGATATTTGTTTGAACTATTTTGGGCAACTTTAGGCAACAGAAAAATAATTAACTGAAATCTGTCACTTTTATGTGAATATTTTAAATTGTCTCAAAGGTTATAAATGCATACATATATGCTATGGTGAGGAAGAACAACCAGGAGAAAGAGGAAAAGGCTTTCCTGATTGATTCATTTGCCATGAGAAAAGTGTGGCGACAATCATATAACATCCTTAGAAAGGTAAATTTCCAATCATTTACATGTTTTGAATGACCTGATATCCTGTTCAATGTTATGAAATGTGTTGGACTACAAAGAATAGCATATTAAACTAGTGTAGATAAAATACATTGTCTCTTTTATTTAGTGGGACCCTACCCAATTCGAAATCATTCTTGGGGTTATACAGTAGGTGAACATGGACACTGGACTCTTGCTGTAAGTATAATGACTTGTAATGATTATGCTTAAAGTTTGCATGATTAAATATGAATGAATTTATTAAACAGAATCATTTAGCTCAATTTATTTAACAAATCATTCAGGTATACCATGTTGTCACGTTCGGGCGTAAGGCGAGCAGGGAAGCAAGCGAGCTGAGCCAAACTTACGGGTAGAATGGGGGTTTATTAGCTGACGGACAGACAGGCACGGACATCCACGGACAATACAATGCCGGATCTGGCAGACATGGGGAGACGTGGACTAATATACACAGGACTAGGTAAACGGAACAGGCAACAGGTGAGAACAATCAGGGCTGAACGCGAGGTAATGAGGGGGGCGTGGCACACATCGGGATCGTACGGAGCGGGATGTGACACATGTTTTGTTTTTTTCTTTTAGGCTATGTATCCATCCCTCAAAAAAACTGTTTTTTTGGATTCAATGGGAGAGTCAAAGGCCAAGATATCAAAGTGTCTTGATGTCACAAGGTAAGAAAGATGAGCTACGTTGTACCATAAGAACCTAGAGGCCAGAAAATGAAATTCATTTACTAAAACTATTTGGCATATATCCTGTCGCACAATTACATCTTCTTTTATTTGTTGCTGGAAATAGTCTAATGCAGGGGTGGCCAATCTTATCCGCAAAGGGCCGGTATATATGCGGGTTTTCGCTGCAACTCCCTAATTACATTACTAATTAGAGGACTGATTGGCTGAAGAGTCCTCACACCTGGTGTAGCTGTCGCCAGGAGATTGGTGCTCATGCATTTATTTAATATTTATTTGTATTTTGTTCAGTGAATGTATTTTGTTTCATTTTGTTGGCAACATGTTATTATTTGTAATATTATTTGTAAAAGGTTTAATGTAGAGGGTTCTTTGTAACAGTGCCTCCTACTGTTCAGCGGAACAGTCTATTTTCGTAATCACATGACCTAGCGTAATGAGCAGCGGAAGGAAGGCCAGGTTAGCAAGCAGAGTGAAGTCAGTGAACAACAGCTAAGAAAAGAAAATCAAAAAGGATTGAAAGAAAGATGTAATGCAGTAATCCTAACTCTGGTCAGAAGGAACACACGGTATGTCATTGTTTTGCCTTTTCTTGTTTTAATATGTATGTTTAATATGTATGTTCGTTGAGTTTTCGCTGTCCTGTATACATAGTATTAGCATGTAGATTGCTTATTTAAGACCCGTAAATGATCATTATATGTGTAATGGTAGTGTTTCTTTATTTCAGTTTTTCACGGTGGTTCATGGTGTGATTTGTTACGTCGATGGAAAAATAAATAAATAAACAAAATTATCGCGCTAAACATCAGTTGAATCGTGAACTAACTTCTGACAGAAGAAAACATTAGGAGTCGTTATAGTGAAAAACGTGTTTAATCTACGGCACAACGGGAGAAAACGTGCCACTCGAGGGAGCAGATTCACGGAGTGAAGAGTGAAGTTGACTTCGCCAGGGTTTCCTCAAGGCGCTACAACTTTAACTAGAAAGATGGGACTGTGCTTATCCGAGGTAATGTTGCGAGCTTCAGATTAATGCACAAGAAGATCGACATTGCTGTAGCTGTAATGGACTATTATCATCGCTCTCAGGTCAGACTGTATTTTACAGTTTTGAATGTCACTTTCTTTATTAAGCTGTTAACATTTTTAAGTTTTCTATTACAATTTAAGTGTGCTGATGTTTGAATATTGTACATGTTTGTAGTGTTTCTGTAGTTTCTTAAATTTAAAAGTGTACAT